GAGTTTAGAGGGAACAAAGAAGGGTGATTCAGGAGACCCCTTGTTGTCTGGGGTTGCTTGTTCTCCAGCCATTAAGGCATGGAAGATGCTGGGTGTTTGCTGTTGCAGGGCAAAGTTGTTGACCAATGAATAGTCAGTGGAAAAGTACTGCTGGGGGGCGAATGGTATAAGAAGGGAGCCTGTCCTCGATAAGGGATAATGAAGTTATGTCCTCAATATGAGAGATGAAGTTAGGCCCTCAGTAAGAAAGAGCTGAAGTTATGTCATCAATAAAGATGTAGCAGTTACAGATCCTAAAGAACCCTGGTGTCCGTGTGGTCATTATGCCACACCCGGCCCCTGCCCTGACCCATCCACATCCCACGGGAGCCTCTGCAGACAGCCCTGCTCCATGTCTTCAGGGCTCTGGGCCAGGACAGAGGCCAGCAGGGCTGGCTGTTCCCCTGACACAGGACCTGAGCCTGGCACAAGGATGGAGATGGCCTGGCAGCCAAATGCACCCCTAAACCTGGGGGGAGCGGCCAGTGCTGGACATGGATGACAAGAGAGGCTGCAGGTGACAAAAGCCCTGGGCCACCTCCCTGCTCTGTCTGTGCCTGATGGGCACAGCCCAGCCTCCTCCCTCCTGCACCAGCCTGTCTTCCATCCCTGCCACACGACCCCAAGCCAGCAGTGGGTGTCCTCCCCTTGCGTGGCTGCACATCCCAGCTCAACACAGATGTTTCTCTCTGCTGGGCAGCTTCCAGCCTGGCCCAGCTGGCCCCCAGCTCTCCCAGCTCCCTGTCCTCTGTCCACCTCCCAGGCTGGCCTGGCCCCACAGCAGTGCTCACTGCAGGCTGCTGCAGGGCTTTGGGCATTGCCACCACAGCCCCAGTTTCCATTCACTCCTGATCTGCTGAGAATGGGTCTCAGACCAGGATTTGTTTGGTTTAAATACACAGAGAGCCTGTTTCATTGTTTAGAGAAACCATGGATCACACAGATGGGAATACTTAGATACAAGGGAATGAAGAAGGGCATTTCTGTGTAGGCAACATTATCACAAAGCCAGAAAGGAAAATCAAACAAATGAACAAGCAAACTCCATATGGAAAGTTCCTGGGGAGGAATAACCCCAAGTAGCAGAACAGGCTGGGGGGGTGACCTGCTGGAGAGCATCTCTGCAGAGAGGCACCTGAGAGTCCTGGGGGACGGCAGGCTGAGCACGAGCCAGCAGTGTGCCCTTGTGGCCAAGAAGGCCAACAGGATCCTGGGGTGCATTCGAAGAGTGTTGCCAGCAGCCAAGGGAGGTGATCCTCCCCCTCTACTCAGTCGCGGTGAGGCCACACCTGCAGTCCTGTGTCCAGGTCTGGGCTCCCCAGGACAAGAGGGACATGGAACTACTGGAGAGATTCCAGAGGAGGGCTACTAAGCTTATTAGAGGACTGGAACATTAGATTAATGGGCCTGTATAGGAGAGGAGAAGACTGAGGGGAGACCTCATCCATGTGTATAAATATCTGAGGGGAGGGTGTCAGGAGGATGGAACCAGACTCTTCTCAGTTGTACTCAGTGACAGGACAAGAGGCAACAGGCACAAACTGAAGCACAGGAGGTTCCAACTGTATATGAGGGAGCACTTCTTTACTGTGAGAGTGACACTTTCACAGAGAGGTGGTGGAGTCTTCCTCTCTGGAGATATTCAAAACTCACCTGGATGCCATCCTGTGCAATGCGTTCTCGGTGATCCTGTTTGGCAGGGGGGTTGGACTAGATGATCTTCAGAGGTCCCTTCTTACCTTGGCCATTCCAAGATTCTGTGAAACCTAAAGAAAACAGGGAGACAGGTAGCCTTGAGATATCAGAAGCAAAGGAGATAAGGGATGGAAGATAAAAAACAAAAAGGAAAAAAACAACTGCAGGAAGATTCCAGACTGACCTTTGCTCATTAAGGGTCACTAACATATTAAAATCACACCAGTAAAATGGTAATGTATGCTAATGTGGAATATGTGTTTTCCCCACCTGCCTCCCAATACCCCCTCCTCCCCCTGCGCCTGGTCCTCTGTAATGCACAAACTCAGTAGAGGAAAGTTAGGAAAGCTGAAACAGCCAATTAAAAGTAGCCAGAGAGAGAGTTTCTCAAGTTTGCTGTGTGTAAAAAATGGTGATTCAAACTAGATGTATGCTTTGCTTTACAAAAGTTCACCAAGAAACCTGACTCTGCAGAGTTCTATAATTACTTATTTAATTAAAAGACCTTTGTGTGCATTCTGACTCTACGTGCATATTGGTGGGGCCGACGGGGCATGAACATACGGACAACACTTGCAGCCCATGGGTACCATGGCAGAGTAGATCTCCACACCACAGCCCGTGGAGGAGCCCCCGTGGAGCAGGTGGATGTGGCCTGGAGGAGGCTGCGGCCCATGGAGAGCCCCTACAGGAGCAGGGGATCTGGGGATCTGGGGGGAGCTGCTGCCTGTGGGACAGCAGTTTGCTCCTGACAGATGGACCCCACGGTTCGGACCCATGTAAGAGCAATTATTGAAGAGCTGCTGCCTGTGGGAAGCACACACAGGATCAGTTTGGATAGGACGGCATCCCATGGGAGGGATCCCATGCTGGAGCAGGGGCAGATAGTGACCCTGAAGAAGCGGTGGAGATGAAGCATCATGGACTGACCGCAGCCCCCATTCCCTATTCCCCTGAGCTATTTGGGGGGTGTAAGGAGAAGAGGATGTATGGAGGGCAAGGTGGGTTTTAGTTTGCTTGTAGCTCCTCACTATTCTAGTTTGCTGGTGATAGGCAACAAATTATATTAATTTCCCTACGCTCATTCATTTTTGCCCATGACAATAACTGGTGACTGTGACACACAGGGGGTTGCAGTTGGACCAAATGATCTTGGAGGTCTTTTCCAACCTTCTATGACTCTATGATTTCATGAAACTTGGTGGCTGATCTGATCTTACTAGGAGAACAAACCCTGAGCACCTTTCATCATATTTTCTCCCCCTTTTCCTTTGAGAAGAAGGAGTTAGAGAGAGGTTATGGTGGAGTTGAGCTGCTTAGCAGAGTAAAACCACATAGAAGGCAAATGGAGGGGTTCAGCACCAGAGCTGTGGCCATCCAAGGATGGCATCTCAGCACCCAGGACATGATCTGATATCTCCCAGGGAAATCTGGCCCTGGATTTTCCATCTTTATGAGGATATGCAGAGCAGTGATTAAAGCAGCCTTTGGGCTCAGAGCAGCCCTAGCATCAGGACCCAAGAGTCCTGGCCGCCCCATTGTCCCTTAGCAAAGTGGGACCCTCAGGAAGGGCTCTCACAGCAGCCACCAGCCCTCTCCAGCCCCACTTCCTCCCTCCCTAAGCCCAGGACTTGCAGGTTTTGACAGCTGAAAGCAGGTAGAGGAGGAGAGAGAAGGGTGGATATCTTTTTAGTTCACTTTTTTTTTTTTTTTCTCATTGCTCCAGTCTGTTAGTAAATATATTATCTTAATCTCCTTATAGGGTCTGCTTCCATGACTGCAATTGATGAGTCATCTCCCCTACCTTGTATAAACCCTGCAGCCCTTTCCAACTCTATTTTCTTCATCTGTACCTTTCAGGAGCAGGGGTGATAGAGTGGTGTGGTGGAGTTCAGCTGACCATCAGTGTGAAACCACCGCAATGCTCAGACCTATTGCTGACACCAGCTTTGAAAGAAGAGGCAGGATTTCAGGCAGTGCATTGGAGAGATGCTGTTTTATTAAGCAGATGCTAAAGGAGAGTTGATGCTGACATGCAGGGAGGGAAAACTGTGCAGAGTAAACAGCGCAGTTTAATACTTCAGGAGATGCTGGATGAATAATAAGCCTTTTTTTTCTAAGTAATAAATGGAAATGAAACTAAGGATAAAGATAAAAATACCAATAATGAAACAAGTACCAGGCCTTCAAATTATATCCAGGAAGTCATTTGTGGAGAAAGAGGGGAAGTTTATCACCATTCAGAAATATCCATGAATTCCTTTCCTAATAGCAGAGCTCCTTGTTTCTCATGCTGTAAATGAGGGGATTGAATGTTGGGGGCACCACCGAGTACAGAACTGCCACCAAAAGATCCAGGGTTGGGGAGGAGATAGAAGGGGGCTTCAGATAGGCAAAAAAGCCAGAGATGACAAAGAGGGAGACCACAAACAGGTGAGGGAGGCACGTGGAGAAGGCTTTGAGCTGACCCTGCCTAGAGGGCATCCTCAGCACAGCCCTGAAGATCCACACATAGGAAAAAAGAATGAAAAAAAAACAGCCAAATGCTAAACAGATAGCAACCATAAGTACCCAAATTTCCCTGAGGTAGGAGTGTGAGCAGGAGAGTTTGAGGATCTGGGGGATTTCACAGAAGAATTGGTCCAAGGCATTGCCTTGGCAGAGGGGCAGGGAAAATGTATTGGCCGTGTACAGCAGAGCATAAAGAACCCCACTGCCCCAGGCAGCTGCTGCCATCTGGGCACAAGCTCTGCTGCCCAGGAGGGTCCCATAGTGCAGGGGCTTGCAGATGGCAACGTAGCGGTCATAGGACATGATGGTGAGAACAGAAAGCTCTGT